TGGTATTCACTATACTTTTATAAACCATAATGGAAAAGAATATGAAAAAGAATATATAGATGTACAGCTGAGTTACTTTGCTGTACAGCAGACATTAAACACAACATTGTAAATCAACTATATTTCAATAAAATTAAAAGAAAAAAACAACTTGGACTGGGAAGTCAAAGGAACTTGTATTTGAATCCCTACTTGTCCACTTCTTAGTCCTGTGACCTTGGGCAAATTATTTGACTTTTAAGGCATGTTATCTCTATTATAGAATAGTTGAGAAGATTAAATCATATAATACATGTAAAGAGCATAGCATGGCCCCTGACATTTGGTACTCAATAAATGTTAGTTGTTATTGCTATAAAGAGATCATGAAAGGGAAAGATGTTAATATAATTTTTCCCACAACTAGAAGAAAATGTAAAACTATTTTTGTAGTTTTGGAGTAACATGGCAAAACACAAATTTAGAAGGCATAAAGGGAAGCACACTGACAGATTTGACTACATAAAAATAAACTTGGGGAATTTCCTGGTGGTCCAGTGGTTAGGACTCCATGCTGTCACTGCCGAGGGGCCAGGTTCAACCCCTGGTCAGGGAATTAAGATCCCACAAGCTGCGTGGCGTGGCCAAAAAATAAAAAATAAAATAAAAAATTTAAAATAATAAATAAATAAAAGCTAAACTTTGGAACATTAAAAGATACAACAACAGCAACAAAAACAAAAGTGAGAGTTATGTATTGCTGGTGGGAATGTAAATTGGCATAACTTCTCTGGATAGCCACATATCTCAAGAGTCTAAAATAATCATGCCCTTGCCCAGTAATCTCTCACTCCTGGCAACTGCATCTAAGAAAACAATCAAAAAAGCTTATAAAAATTATGGAGAAGCAGAATCATCTTAAATTTATGTTGTAGTAAAAATTAGAACCTACATGTATAAATAAATTATTAAACACATGTACAGTGAAGTAATATGTAAACATTTCATTTATGTTTTAGAAGAATATTTAATGCTAGGGAAGATATTCAAGTGTATTAAGTAATAAAGGCAGCTTGCAAAACAGTACTTACGGTTCCAACTATGTTAAATACACAAACAAATATACATAGAAGAAAGAGGCCTGGGAGGATAGACACCGAAATGCTGAGTGATTATCTCTGAATAGTGCAGTTATAGGTGGCTTTTGTCTTCTTTATAATCGCTGTATACTTCAAATATTCTGCAAAGCACAGAAAAAGAATAATAAACGTGAATGGAGAAAGACAAAAAGAAAAAGTAAAGGCGTCAGCCTCAGAATTCTGGTGGCCACTGGTAGTAAAAATAGAAAATATTTTCAACCTATCTACATCATATAAATATAAAAATATTTAAATAAAAAATAACATCCATACTTCCAATCGAGATGGATAATAGACTTGGAAATTTCCATCTACAGTCACAGTAATCTGGTCACTGCACAACTGCCAGGCCTTTCACATGTGCCCAGATGAGAACTACATGCACATGTACTGGGGGTGCACTATTTTCTATTTGGCTTCAAGTTCAGTGTTTGGCCAAATTCTGCTGTTCAGCTGTGGTGTTCAGCCTTGGCCACTGCAAAGTGGAATAGTTGAAGGCTTACTCAATGCCATTTCTGGCATCCTTAAACTTGTACATGAGTAAGACTGTGCTGTTGGGTAGATTTCCATCATATCCCATCAGTGCATCAATCTTCAGTAACATAAACATGGCATGTCATGGACCTAGAGACTGTCCTACAGAGTGAAGTAAGTCAGAAGGAGAAAAACAAATATTGTATACTATCGCTTATATGTGGAATCTAGAAAAATGGTACAGATGAACTTATTTGCAAAGCAGAAATAGAGTCACAGATGTAGAGAAAAAACTTACAGTTACCAAGGGGGGAAGGGGGGGATGGGACCAACTGAGAGATTGGGTTTGACATATATACACTACTATGTATAAAATAGATAACTAATGAGAACCTACTGTATAACACAGGGAACTCTACTCATTGCTCTGTGGTGACCTAAATGGGAAGGAAACCTAAAAAAAGTGGATATATGTATAGGTATAACTGATTCATTTTGCTGTACAGCACAAACTAATACAACATTGTAAAGCAACTATACTAAAATAAAACGTAATTTAAAAAGAACATGGCAAAAAAAAAAAAAAAGAACATGGCATATCAGTCATTGTTAGTATATGAATATTTGCTCTCAAATTTAAATATTTGAAATTCTAGATGTAACTAGAAGTGCAAAATCCAATGATGTGCTTTATATGTTGAAATGCTAACAATTGAGGTATATATGAATGTATTTTTAATATTGCAAAAGTAAAATGCTACAATAATTATTGCGGATTATGAAAGGTGCTGATTTTATGTAATAAATGAGAAGTTTCAGGTAGTCAAATATTAAGAGTTAATATGAATATTGAGAGAATGTCATCCAGATAACTTAAAAAAATATATATCCTTTTTGAAAAAAAAAAAAAGAATAAAAAAAGGGCTTCCCTGGTGGCGCAGTGGTTGAGAGTCCGCCTGCCGATGCAGGGGGCGCGGGTTCGTGCCCTGGTGTGGGAGGATCCCGCATGCGGCGGGGCGGCTGGGCCCGTGAGCCATGGCCGCTGGGCCTGCGCGTCCGGAGCCTGTGCTCCGCAACGGGAGAGACCACGGCGGTGAGAGGCCCGCGTACTGAAAAAAAAAAAAAAAAAAAAAAAGAATAAAAAAATATATATCCTTTTTGAACCTACAGATGTTCATAGAAATATAAATATGACCACAGGGCAAAACTAACAAAGATTAGATTGTATCACAATTCTAATTACTGTAGAATTATTTGGTGCAATTGCATTCATAACACTAAGTAATCTTTAGAAACTAATGTTTAATTAAATTCCATTTGGTCTGTTAATCCTAAAAAAGAAAAAGCCCTATTTGGTAATTTTTCACATATTAGGAGGGTAAAATTAAATGCAGAATGTCAACATGGCTATCTCAAAATTTCACAAGGACAAAAAAAGTCATGTACAAGACATATATGATTAATCATCTTTGATTGAGACATGATTAAAAATATAGAGAGAGCCTGGAAAAAAAGGAGAAAGGAGATAAAATGAGACACCCAAAATACATTTCTTCTCTCTAAACAACGGACTTTACAAGAATGCTTTTAATTAGACAATGCCTTGTGGTTTGGGATCTGTGAAGGGTAATATTTTTTAAAGCTTGTAGAAATAATTACTGTAGACTTATAACCATTTTAAGCTGTTGAAGAGAAAGGATTTTTTTAGATTTGCCCAAGCTATGAATTCTAAATATTGATTTATTTTAGAAAACATTCCTAAAAATTTTTTCCTGATTTATATTTTGTTGTACACAAAAAGGTTATTGAAATTATGAAATACGCTACCACAGTACGTATATGGTATGTGTGACATTTGGACATGAAGAATCAACCTTAATTTTTTTAGGTTTGACAACATAGAGGATTAATGATTAATTCAACTGTTTCCTCTTTCCTTACTTGATGAACGATTGCCGGGTCTCACACACATAGTGAATTCGACTTTCAGAAACATTTATGGAATGTAAAATCTGTAAAGGGAAATGCACAAAATTATTGACTACGGAGCAAATATGGTAAAGGCTATGGGTACAAGCATATAATTTGTTTACTCCCTTCAGTTCTATGTTTAGAAAATGGTTATAGCTTAAAAAGATGTAATAGAAAATGAGTGGCTTCAAGCAGAAAGATTGTAGACTACTTCCACAATTTTTCTTCAACCAATAACAAATTTTGTTAAACAAGAACCTTTGAAATTGTCTTGTCGTGTACATATGCAAAATTTTTCAACAAGATAGAACAACAGCTATTACATCCGTCAAAGGCTTATAGAATAAAGAAGGCCTTAATTCTGTATTTTCCAGAGAACGTTACCAACGTAGCAAGACTTACTAATAACCGATGGTGATTTACATGGAAAGCAGTTTGTTTGCTGGAACTTGCTGAATAAATTGATGTCCCTTGAGAATGCAAGTATTTCCTACATCATTGCTGCTGAAAAAAGATTTCCTTTTGATTCTACTCTAAGGAAGATGCTGAAATTGATGTGCATACAAGGAAAGCCAAGATGCAGGTGGAAACTTCAATTATTTTCTTAACTTGAAAACCAGTTAAATTGCTCCATTGTCCCATTTCTAGATCCAAAGTTTAAGAACAAATTTTTCTCCAGTGAGTATGTATAGTGGCAAGAACAGGCTAAAATATTAGAAATTAGGGACTTCCCTGGTGGCACAGTGGTTAAGAATCCGCCTGCCAATACAGGCGACACGGGTTCGCGCTCTGGTCCGGGAAGATCCCACATGCCGCGGAGCAACTAAGCCTGTACGCCACAGTTACTGGAGCCCCGTGCTCCGCAGCAAGAGAAGCCACCACAATGAGAAGCCCACGTACTGCAAGGAAGAGTAGCCCCCTCTCGCAGCAACTAGAGAAAGCCCATGCACAGCAACGAAGACCCAATGCAGCCAAAAATTAAAAATAAAATAAAAAGATATTAAAAAAAGGAATTAGAAATTAAAAATATGAGGATGGCCATCTTAAATCTGCTTCTGAAAATATGTATTTTCTTGAAACAGTGCACAAAACTTCAGTCAGCAAAATTGCTTCGATGAAATGCTATCACCATCCCCCCAAATTTTCAAGGCTAAGAATTAAAAAAGAGAAAATCTTTACCTTAATAAGCTCCTATTAGAAGAAAGAATATTTAATGGTAATGTTACCATATTATACTGGCAGAACTAGACCTATGCCCCAAGAAGCTCAGTTGAAAGTATCTTATTTAGTAATACAATTGTTTCTATTTAATGGTCATAGGAGTGTCCAGCAGTTGCTGTTCTTGCCTTATAAGTTCAAACTTTAAATTTTTTAAAGTTTTAATTACTACATTTTTAATAATAAAATTACAAAAATGAATTTCCTTTCCAAGAAAATTCAGATTTCCCCCCTCTTTTCTAGAAGTTCATTCGATTATGGTGATATTCTGATTCAGAGAATAGCAATTTTTTTAACATCTTTATTGGAGTATAATTGCTTTACAATGACAATTTTTTACCATCATTCACCATTTGACCAAAATATATATTAATTTGAGGTAGACCTCAAATTACATACTGCAGGTGTAGCTACAGTCTAAAAATAGCTTAGTAGGCTCAAGAGCAGGCCCAACAGGACGGTTCTCATACTTTTGTGATTTATAGCTTCTTTCACTGTTATGGGCATTGACGATTCATTTGCTGAAATACAGGTTTGGGAGGACTTTGGGTCACGTTCAGCCTGTTTGAAAGGAGGGCCTTGCTGGAAACTCAGGGTTATGTGGTTGTCTTACTGTAACATACGCTCTGTCAGCCTTAGATACACAACCTCCGTAGATAGCACTTGGTTCTTTGCTGTCCGTTAGTACAGACCCAGCAAACCCCAACTTCAATAATCCGAGATATAAGGACGACTGTAGTTTTGGTCCTAACACCGGCCACGTGGGATGTGAACCGCTTCCCCTTGGGAGCCACATTTGCAATTTCTGCAAGTGATGAACGTCGTCTTCATCACATATCTGTGCCTCATGGTCTCTGATTCTAACCCACTGTCTCCCTACGCCCTGTCCGGCACCTGGACCTCGCACTCCGCCCATTTCCACCTTCCTGCATCGGGCTGCCCTCCCCCTGGCGCCTCCCTTCAGACGGGGCCTGCTGATTGGGCCTCCAGAAAGAAAAACGCTTCCCAGAATGAGTCCTGGTTTGTGGCTGGGGCCTAAGCACCAATCTGTTGAGCACTCTCGGGGTTTGTGAGAAAACAAGACCCACCTAGTTCCGTAGAACAAACCGTTCGCGAGCGGAGCCGAGCGAAGCCTGGCCAGCCGGTGGGGCGCAAGTGGCCGCCGGGGCCGGCAGGGGGCGCGCTGCCGCGGCGGGCGGGCGGGCGGCGCGTCTAGGCCCGAGCGGTCCCTGGGGTGCGCTCGGTGCCCACAAAGCGCCTGCTGAGGGGCCGCTGCGGGCTGAGCGCGGCTGAGCCTGCCTGCCACCCGAGTTCCACCGGCCGGCTGCCCCGCGCCTCTGCCGCGTCGCCGCGCCCCGAGCAGCCGGGCCCGACGGCAGTGCGAGAGCCGGGTCGGGAAGGCAGGGCCGGGCGGGTGCCGCCTACGGAGAGGCCGGGGGTCGGCCTGCGTGGGGCAGCGCGGAGGCGGCGGCAGCGGCGGCGACTCCGGCCCGGGCCGGACAGCGCAGGACCATGGCCGAGGCAGCCCCGGCTCCGGTGAGGGCGGCCTGCGCGCCGAGCTCAGTGAGCCCGGGAGGGTCGGGGCGCCTCGGGCTCTGCGGTCGGACCCGAGGGAAGGGAGGAGGGCGGGGATCCCAGCCTGTCAGGCTCGGGGCCCCGGAGCGGGGCGCAGCCCGGACGGCCGAGCACAGACACCCACCGGGGTGCCGCCGGCAGGGGAGGGGCCTGGGGGGGACCCCGACGCCGAGCGCGGGTCTGGGACAGCTCGCCCTCCCCCATCGTTGGGTCCCTGCGCCTGGGTGTGAGGCCCCGGCTCGCCCATCCCGTTTGGAGGTTTCCAGCGGAGAGAGCCTCTTACACCAATGGAAGAGGAATGAGTGAAGCGATCCTCGCCTGGTGCCAGCCCCGCTCCTGCCTGCCGGACGCGGGGCAGTGGAGTTGGCTTGGTTTGGGGTTTTCATCAGCCATTCTCCAGCCCTGGGAGCCGACCCCACAGTCACCCTCGCTGCCGCCTCCGTGAGCCTCGCGCAGCCACAGATGCCGTGGTGACGGCAACACTTAGGTGTGTTGAAGGACCGCCGGAGGACAGGGATCCCCAGTGCCCAGCCCGTGACGATGCCGGACACGCAGGAGGCCCTCTGTCGGGATTGCAGAGTGAACTAGCGGTGCAGGTTCGGAGGGCGGGATTACCTTCTGCGTGTTTTATTCGTTACGCGGATGTTTACTGCAGGCCTGCCGCGTGCCAAGCCCGCTCCGGCAGTTGCTAAGCCTGCAGAGCTGACCAAGACAGTCGCTGCACACAAGAGCCGTGCAGAACCAGCAGGGACTAGTCAAGTAACAGGACCGGAAACGATGCCTTGGATTTGCCAGCTAAGAAGCCTCTGCTCACCCCAAAGAGAGTCATTGTAGTGGATCAGGAGCCAGACTGGCCTACAGAGTAGTGACCCGAAAGTGAGAGGGGGGGAAGAAGAGGAGGAAAAAGGGAGCAGCAGCAGTGGGGGTGGGGGATCGAGCAGAGGGAATGTCATCTGTGCCCTCAGACCTATTTTTCCCTTTTGGATCTTGTTTTTCAATATGGTAGAGATGATCATGTGTCTGTATGCCAGCCCTGTCCAATAGAAACATAATAGAAGCCACGTATATAACCTTAAACTTTCTAGCAGTCACATTTTATTTTCTTTATTTATTTATCTATCTATCTATCTATCTATCTATTTATTTATTTATGCCCAGTGGCCTGCTGAGCCCTCGGCAGTGAAAGGGGGGAGTCCTAACCACTGGATGCTGGGGAATTCCCAGTAGTCACATTTTAGAAGTAAAGAGAAATAGATGAAATGAACTTCAATGATATGTTCTATTTAACCCAAGGCTTACAAAATATTTCAGTGTGTGATTAGTATTAAGAAATTATCGATGAGGTTTTACATTTTCTCCCCACACTCAGTCTTCAAAATCTGGTGTGTATTTTTTACTCACGGCACATCTCAATGGAAATAAATGCACCTCAAGTGTTCAGTAGCCACACGTGGCTACCATATTGAACAGTGCAGGTCTGTCCCATGGAGAAGACACGGGAGAGATTGAAACATTGACCATAAACAAGAGGAAAGATTCGTGTACCTAAAAATGTGGAAGGAGGTGGCATTCAGAGCATTAAGTGGAGAGATTCATTTTAAATAGGATGCACCTTTTTCCTGAGGGAAGGAAAGAAGAAAGCATGGACTAAGCTACTGATGAGTTTGAAGTGGGAAGGAGGGTGAAGAAAAAGAAGAGAAAGAGGAGAACGTTGAGAGAGTTGAGGTCTAATAATTCTAACCCTCTTCTCAAAGTAGGAGGCCGCGTCATCTCCTGAGAGTGAGGGGCCCGCAGCGGACAGGAGTCTTCCCGCTCAGCCTGCGCTCCCTGAAGCAGCAACAGCAACGTCACCTTGTTTTCAATGCAAACTCCCAGTTTTCCTACCCGACCTACTGAAGCAGAGTCTTGCATTTTAGCAGGGCCTCCAGATGATGCTTAGGCTCATTAGTTTGAGAAGTGCTGTACTAAAAGCTGGAGAGGGCCAGGGGCTTGTGGTGGCCACGCTGTGGAATGGGAAGCGGAGTGTGGGGCACAGGGCAGTGCTGAGTCCCTGCTGAGCTTAGAGACCGTGGGTGTGTGGTGACACCAGTTTACCTGGTTGTGTGACTTCATTTCGTAGGGCTTACCAGCCTGCTTCCAGGAACAGAGAATGAGAACAATTGAAGTGATTCAAAGCCGGAGGTTAGCCGAGCAGGTGAGGCAGAAAGGCAGACGAGTGAAGGGGTTGAAGTTAGCTGAAATGATCACCTAAGGAAGAAAGCAAAGCCCGGAGCAGGCCGGTAAACCAGGAGCAAATGGAACGGTCAAGGGTTCAGTGGGATCGCAGAGCAGGTGAAAGGAGAAAAAAGTGGTGGGAGAGCTGCAGAGACCGGAGGTTACGGCCAAAGAGCCGGTTATCAAACTCGTAGGGTCAGAAGGCTTTACAGAGGTCATCCTCATCCAACCTCCCGTTTCTTGTACGAGTTTCATTTTCTATACACTCTTTGTTCCAAGGTATGTTCAGTGAGGAGGCAGCCTGTTATGTTCTTGGAAAGATCTAGTTCAAATAGGCCAGAGTTTATGTTCCTGAAAATTTCATGTTGGTTCTAGTTCTGCCCTCTGGAGTAACACAGTATAGGAGTAAACAAGTCTGTCCTGCCTTCTGTTTTATAACCCTCAAATATTTGAAAATAGCTGTCATGCTTTCTCCACACTCGACATTCTCAGCTTTTTCAGCTGCTACTGAATGATATGGTTGTGGCTTGTCAGCAGGGTGATGGATGGGGCCGGAGCCTAAGTCAATAAATAAGGGGTTTATCAGAAGGGCACCGAGCTCACTGAAACCTGGAAAGATCCTGATGCACTTAGAGCTTTTCCAGAGCCAGAGGATGCAGCAGCAACCTGGCCTCTGGGTGGCTGGCTCTGTGCCAGGCTGCTTCTTGATCCAGTTTCACCTGTTCACTGTCTTACCTACTCCATCCCTCAACCACCAAAGCAATTCTCTTGGCTTTTGATGTCAATGAGCTCCATAAAGATGAGGCTTATGCAGGCACTACTAATACTATATTTAGATTAATCTCCGCTGGCCACTCAAGCAGCGCTTATCTCATTTTAGTTCGGATCAGGGCTCCTTCTAACACTCAATGTCTCGTCTCCTCTTTCCACTGCACACAGACTTCTGAATGGGACTCCGAATGCCTTACATCCCTGCAGGCGCTTCCTCTTCCCACACCCCCAGCAGCAAATGAAGCACACCTGCAGACTGCGGCCATCTCCTTGTGGACAGTAGTGGCGGCCGTGCAGGCTATCGAGAGAAAGGTGGAGGTCCACAGCCGGCGACTCCTGCACCTGGAAGGACGGACAGGGACAGCCGAAAAGAAGCTGGCCAGCTGCGAAAAGACAGTGGCTGATCTCGGGAACCAGCTGGAGGGCAAGTGGGCGGTGCTGGGGACCCTGCTGCAGGAGTACGGGCTGCTGCAGAGGCGGCTGGAGAACTTGGAGAACCTGCTGAGGAACAGGAACTTCTGGATCCTGCGGCTGCCCCCCGGTATTAAAGGAGATATCCCAAAGGTAACACCTCCACTTCTGCGTGCGCAGTGCTACCACTAGACCTTAGACTATTAGCAAGGGGTAGTCTTGGTCAATCAGTTTGGCTGAAGGAACCAAGAAGTTGTTTTGTGTTTTATCTATTTTGGAAGCATTCCACGTTCAATTTAGTGATCATGTGAAGTGTCAGACTTCAGATTGGAAAACTCTTCCCAATCCAAAGTTGGCTATCCGGCAGATGGATTTTTTTCTCTTTTGCTTTCTCCCGCCCATTACCCCCCAAGTCACTTTTTTCTTTATTAACCTGTCTGCTACAGTCTTGTTTGGAAACAAAAGTAAATATTATTTAAATCAGTCAGTTTGAATTTGTTGGCAATTCTGGTAAAAAAAAAAAAAAAAAAGAGGAGGACAGAGGAAGGGGTGTGGAGTTAAGTGGTTAATATAAGGTTTGGGGCTGTCTGTGGGTCTAGGATCCACATGGATCCTGTCCTTCCGCATCCTTTACAGAGTGCGCCACAGTGCTAGGGCCCGGCCTTTCTGAAGGGAATAGTCCCTAAAACAACAGGAAATAAACATCATTCTTGAGCTATGGAAGACAGCCTGGAGGCAGCTAGTTTCCAAACATGCCCGTTTATTTATTCATTCATTCAACAAATACTTCTTGAACACTTAGTATTTGCTTGAGATCTACTTCCTGAAGGCACAGCAGTGAACAATTCTTGTAAGCTTCCCTGGAGCTTAAATTTTAGGGGGAAAGATAATATAAGCAAACAAAATAAATCCATTTAAGTACTTTGATAAAAATAAAAGTGCTATCTGGTGATTTATTTTTTAGATTGGATGTCACAGAAGTTCTCATAAAGTAGCTAATTTTTAGGCTGAGACTAAATGACAGGAAGGAACCTACTGGGAGAAGATCTGAGGAAGAGCTTCCCAGGTGTAAAGAATACCTGGTGCAATGTCCCAAAGGCACAAACAACCTTGAAACACTGAGGGGAAGGAAAAAGACCAGTTGGCTGGTGTGCAGTGAGTAAGTGGAGCACGGCTAGAGAAGCAGGGGGCAGCTCATTTAGGGCAGTGTTTTTCAGCCCTAGCTGTACAGGAATCACCTGGGGGGCTTTTAAAATTTTGATGGGCATCACATCTAGAGGTTCTGATGTAACAGGTTCAGGATGGGGCCTAATCATTAATCTTAAAACTCCATAGATAATTCTAATATGCAACTACGGTTGTGAACCACTGACATAGGGCATTGGAGACCGAGGTAAGGAATGTGGACTTTATCTTGGGTGTAATGGGAAGACTGGGGGATTTTTTAGATGAGGAGTTATATCTGGTCTGTATTTTGAAAGAATCTCTTTGGCTGCTCTGGGCCGAATGGGTCATGGGGGTAAGAACAGAAGCAAGGAGAAAACAATAAGGCAGCTGTAATGGTAGGAGGGCCGAGAGTGGCTTGAGTGAGGGTGGCAGTAGTGGAGATGGAGACAGGTGGACAGATTCAGGCTGTTTTGGTGGTAAAATTGACGGTAGGACTTACTAATGGGAATTAGGGAATGAGGAATTAAGAACAAGAGCTGTAAATTAACTGTGATAATTTACTGAGCACTTACTGTTGTAAGTGCTTTAGTTGCTTTAATAAGACTCCTAACTTGCCCAAGCTCATACAGTCAGTAAGTATAAATGCTGGAGTTGTACTGTGACCCAGTTGGCTCCAGAGAATATGCTCTTAACCACGGGCTCTTAGGCTTTTGACTTGAAGGACTGGATGGATGGTATTGGCACTTACAGAGGTGGGGATGCTTCAGGGTGGGAAAGAATTAGTTCTCCTTTGGCAGCATTGGTTTGAGATGACTGGGATACGTTCAGGAGAGATGTTAAGTGATCTTCGAAGCCCAAAGGTGAGAAATATTTGGAAATCACTGACGTACAGATTGTATTGTTAAGTCATGAGGCTGGAGGTGATTACTTCGGGAGAGAATGTGGAGAAGCAGCAGAAAGAGCCCAAGGACCAAGCGCCATAGGTGGGAGTGGTGGCCAGTGAGTGTGTGGGTCACAGGGTCAAGGGACAGTGGTCGTGTGGGTTAACGTGTTACTGAGCGGGCTAGAAGGATGAGGATGGTGAATACAACTTGGCAACACAGCCTCGCTGGGGACCTTGCAAGAGTTGTTTTAGTGCAGGGGCGGGGATAGAAGACTGGGTGGAGCAGGCTGAAGGGCGAACGGGAAGAGAGGCGATGGAGGCTCCTTTAAGGCTGGCGGGGGCGGGGAGCAGAGGTGAGCAGGCGGCGGAGGGCTCAGAGTCAGCTTCTTAGAGAGAACCTTCCCCACAGTGTGTTTTGTTTGTGTATCTGGAGCACCTCCAGAAGGGTTTTTGGGTAATTTAAACATAATATTTGCCATAAAGTTACTTACTGTCTTACCTGGATGAGTGGATAACATTGAAACTGTCCATCTTTTTTTTTGTGTGTGTGTGGTACGCGGGCCTCTCACTGTTGTGGCCTTTCCCGATGCGGAGCACAGGCTCCGGACGCGCAGGCTCCGCACGCGCAGGCTCAGCGGCTATGGCTCATGGGCCCAGCCGCCCCGCAGCATGTGGGATCTTCCCAGACCGGGACACGAACCCGTGTCCTCTGCATCTGCAGGTGGACTCTCAACCACTGCACCACCAGGGAAGCCCTAAACTGTCCATCTTAAACTCCAAAGTCATATATAAAATAATGTGATTTCTCTCAAAGATTTCTTCATGAAATTGAAATATATCGAAGATTTACTAGATTGAAACATGGGCCACACAGGAGGAAATTTTGTGTGCTTGATTTGTTGAAAATGCTCTTATTCTGCCCTTACTTTCGAATGCCAAACTCAAAATAATTTTCCCTCAGAATTTTTTTCTTAATTTTAAAAATTGTGGTAAAATATATATGACATAAAATTTACCATTTTGTGGGGGAGAGAAAAAAAGAAAAAATATTTACCATTTTAAGTGTACAGTTCAGTGGCATTAAGTACATTCACATTGTTATGCAGCTGTCACCACCAACCATCTTCAGAACTTCTTCATTTTGCAAAACTTTAATGCTGCACCTATAGAACCCCTCCATTCCCCCCTCCCCCAGCCCCTGGCAACCCCGCTTCTGCTTTCTGTCTCTGTGAATCTGTCTGCCCTAGGTCCTCATCTAGGTAGGGTCATGCAGTATGACATCTGTCCCCGTACGACTGGCTTATTTCACTGAGCATGACCTCTCCCAGGTTCATCCATGTTGGAGCAGGTGTCAGAATTTCCTTCTTAAGGCTGAATAATATTCCATTTCTCTCACAATTTTAAAGGCGTTGGTTCTTTGTCTCATAACATCAAATGCCATTGATGAAAAGTTTAATAACAAATCAATTCTCATTCGTTTGTAAGAAATCTCTTTTTTTTTTTTTTCCCTCTCTGGAAGATTTTATCTTCTATTTGTACGTGGTTTTTCTAAAATTTGTTGAGGATGTATCTGGGTGTAGGTCTTTTAAACTTTTTGTTGGGCACTCGGTGTGACCTTTCAGTCAGAAGGCTGATATGTTTTCCACTCTGGAAAATTTTCTTCTGTGATTCTATTTTTATAATTTTTCTTTTCCCCCTTTCACATTTTTTTCTGTTCTCTTTCTGGAATTACTGTTTGACAGATGATGGATTATTGTCTTTGTGTCTTTAACTTTTCCTTCATATTTTTCACCTATTAAACTAGAGTTCTCTGACGTTTCCTTCCAGCCTTTCTTTTATTTTAACAAGTATATATTTAATTTTCCAGAATATTTATTTTCTCCTTTTTTAAAGCAGCCTGAATTTTTTTTTAATGGATGCAGTATCTACTTGAATGTCTCTGAGAATATGTATTGGAGCTTTTTTTTTTTTTTAATTCTCTAGGATTGTTTGTAGTGTGTGCTCATCTTGATGCTGTTAGTTTTACTTTTTCAATATCGAGTAATCCTTGGTTGCTAGTAGGTTAATTAAGAGGTTAATTTGAGGAAGCTGGCGTGTTTTCTCTGCCACCATGTAAGTCTGTTTAACCAGAGGATCTTTGCTTTGCAGGAGAGGCTCTCTCCATAGGTGCCCGATATAGGTGGGCTTCACTTTAAGGTGCTGTGCAAGGAGCAAACAGGCAGTGCGGGGGGCTACCCAGAGGCCAGGAGTAAGGTGGTACTCTAAGTTGTCAGCACCGCACTGGGACCGGGTGCTGTCTCCAGGCAGGTTTTTTTGTTTTTTTTTAAATATTTAATGGCTGCGTTGGGTCTTCTTTGCTGCGCACGGGCTTTCTCTAGTTGTGGCGAGCGGGGGCTACTCTTCGTTGTGGTGCGCAGGCTTCTCATTGCGGTGGCTTCTCGTTGCGGAGCACGGGTTCTAGGAGCGCGGGCTTCAGTAGTTGTGGCTCGAGGGCTCTAGCGCGCAGGCTCAGTACTTGTGGCACACGGGCTTAGTTGATCCGCGGCATGTGGGATCTTCCCGGACCAGGGCTCGAACCCGTGTCCCCTGCATTGGCAGGTGGATTCCTAACCACTGTGCCACCACGGAAGCCCTCCAAGCGGGTTTTTTAATTTCTTTAGAGTTGAGGTCTGGGTTTCAGCTTTGGGGTAAATGCTGCTTTCCCAGGGCTGATGAGGACAAGGCAGGGGGCCCTGCTATTCCAGAGGTCGACCTCCAGACTGCAGTTTATAACCAGTAACCCCTACTCAGCATCTCTGCCAGCTTTGAGCTTGGAATTCTCTGGATTCCTTACTGCAGTCTTTTCCTGTGTGTTGTCAGAGATGCAGCTTCCTCGTAGCTTAGACCCCAGCACAGGCGCATCCTCTAGGTCTCAGTGAGAAACTCATCAGAAATTCTGATCTAGTGACGGCCTCTCCTTCTCCTTCTTGGTACTGGTATTGAGTCCCTCCTGCTCTTATTTACTGTCATTTCAATGGAACTCTGGGTGGAAAGGGAAGTACATGTGTGTTTAGTTCACAATCTTGAACAGAAGCGCATCTCAATCCTTTATTTTTGTCATTATTTTATCACATGTGTTTCTGTTGTAAGCTATCACAAATCTTTTGTGTAGTGAGATTAGATTAAAAAATTAACTATTGAGCATCTACATTTGCCTCAGTTGGTTTTAGATGCTGAGCAGGATGTAAAATGAGTAATTTATGGTTCTAGCTCCTAAGGAACAAAATTTATGGTTGGGGAAGAAAAGATGGCACAAATGAAGCAATTAGAGAGAAATTAATTGCCTCATAGAATTGTACAGACCTTTGTATTTTAAAGGATATGTTAAGTTTATGAAGATGAGTATCTTTTTATTGAATTTTTTAATTTGGGGAAAAAAGTATATGTGTATATATTAGTTACACGGAGTCTTTCTTGCTCTTGGTTATTTCTTTTCCCGTAGCATCCTGTTTTTATTTTATGGGTTTAATATCTCTCGATTCTTTATGGGATTACTAATTAAGGTTTTTTTAAAAATTCTGTTGCCTAGGTATTTCTATTTTTTCCACAGTTATTTTTTCCCTCCTTTTATTTTAGTCTTTCTTGATCATGTGGCAGGATTTCTCTAAATGGTCACTGATACTTAGAAATAAGCTCGTATTTAAGAATAAAACTGCTGAAAGCTGTCAGGCAGGAAAAGGAAGAGCTAGCCATTATGACGATGGCAGAAGGAGAAGAGCTTCACACTAGGCGATAGTGCCCATACTTGGTGCCTGAATTCCCCAGGCAACTCTTGTATTTCTTTCCAGAGAAACATATCCATTTGCCTGTGGATAAGCTCCTAGCTTTAGACAGAATTGTGCTGGAAGGTGGGAGGATTCTGTCCTGTATATGACCATTTCCTTCATGAAACGTTGACTCCAACTAGGCAGAATCTATAACTGTTCTCTGAATGCACTCTCCAGTGTTCCATGCTTAAATGTTTTTCCCATTCACATTAGGCCTGTTTATAACCTACCTGTCTTTTAGGACTGGCCAAAGTCCCATCTTTTCTAGACTCATCCCAACCGCATTATAGCTCTGTTTCCAAAATTTCTTGTCCATGTCATTAATTTGAGTATAGTCATATGCTCCTTTTAGGCAGAAACGATATATTTATAATCTTGGTGCTTAGGATAAGCCTTGTACTTGACGGATATTCACAATATGTAGAGTTCTGTGAATTAAATCCTGCTTTGCATTTGTACCTACCTCTATGAGTGACTGTTTACACTCTCCTAGAACTCATAGCCCTAAAGTTTATCACAGTGAAAACACTGTCAACTCTTGGAGGTTAGATCTGTGTCTTAAATATTGCCTGTATCCTTTCAGCATCTCACCTAGGTTTTTTTGTAACTAGTAGGCATTTAGTAGAGATTTATTGAATGGTTAAATTGCAGTGAGAGAAACTAACCCCAGTGTTGTAATTTCAGGTGCCTGTGACATTTGATGACATCTCCATCTACTTTTCCACTCCAGAGTGGGAAAAATTAGAAGAATGGCAAAAGGAACTTTACAAGAATATCATGAAGGGCAACTACGAGTCGCTCATTTCCATGGGTGAGGCTAAGTTGGCATCTTTTGAATGAGGTGACAGCAGCTCCATGAAGTCTCAGAATGGTCCCTTTTCCTCCAGTGTCCTCATTTTCACTCTGTCCTCACACACTTCTGGTTCCAAGCAAAAGATTTCCAGTTCACCCTTGCTAAATAGGCAATCATGATCTCTCCTTCTGCCAAATCATGGGACAGAGAATGAAGTTCAAGGTTATGGGTTATGGGTGTGCCAGCTGCAGTGGTTTCCATAGTATCCCTCACTTTGAAAGGGCCTTGCCTCTCCTCCTTGAGGCACACTCACTCTTACTCCATGGAAGTAGCAGGCGGTGCCCAGGTAGCACATGTGCCTTTCCCACACCTCACCTCTCCTCTTACTTGTTTCCTAATAGATAGCGTCCATAGTTGGAGGTGAATGGATGGAGGGAGGTGATCTAGACTCTGAAAGAAATTCCCTGGGCCTGCACCTCACAGCCTTCAGTTCAGCTTTTATGGCCATCAGTTGTCATCCTCATTTATCACTTTGTCATACCCTCTTTCCCATTTTCCTCTCCTAGATTATGCCATGAATCAACCTGATGTCTTATCTCAGATTCAGCCAGAAGGGGACCATAATACAGAGGACCAGGCAGGGCCAGAGGAAAGTGAGATTCCCACAGATCCCACTGAAGGTGAGTGAGAGAAGAGAGTATCCACCCCTTGTCTCCCTTTCCTGGTCAGAGATGATGGCTCAGAACTAAGGTAAGCAGGGCTTGGGCCTTCTAGAGCCTCTCAGTCCTAAAGCAAGTAGACTGCGAATGGGTCGTCAGGCATTTAAATAGAGCTTAGAGATAACCTTGTCCAAGGCCTTCGCTCATCAGTACCACACACCTAAGGGCTATCGAGGGAATGTGTGCCCAGCTGTTCAGAAGTGCTAAGGGGCTGGGAGTCTGCCTGGTCCCTCGGGGACGCACTTAACTGGCAGACCCTGATGGCATCCACCTGGGCAAAGTGGATTTTGCCCAATTTGGGAGCCAGCTATCATTAGTTAACTCTCCCTAGTTTTTTCGGTTGGCAGCTCCTTGATATTGTGTGGGGAAGACTGCTAGTCAAAGTCCAGTTGTATTATTTCTCTCAAGTCCCACCTCTGTTATCAGAAAAATCTCATGCAATTTTTGTTCTTTGATAGATAGAAAGCTCACAGAGAATTCATCCTCCAGACGTGTCTATTAGATGAACTTCTCTGACAACCCACCCCTGCCCCATACACTGTTATTTTTTCTAACATTTTATTATGAAAATTTTCAAACAGTCAGAAAAGTTGAAATAATTTTACAATGAACACCTAGATACCTATCACCTAGATTCTATCACTAACATTTTACTGTACTTCCCTATTACATATATATCCATCCCTGCATCCCTGTATCCCTGCATCAATACATCTTATTTTTCATGTATTTCAAAATCAGTACAGATATCAATACATTTCCCCCTAATTAGTTCAGCATGAATATCATTTACCTAGAGTTCAATATTTGTTTATATTTTTTCTTTTTTTTAAATAAATTTATTTATTTATTTTTATTTTTGGCTGTGTTGGGTCTTCGTTTCTGTGCGAGGGCTTTCTCTAGTTGTGGCAAGCGGGGGCCACTCTTCATCGCGGTGCGTGGGCCTCTCACTGTCGCGGCCTCTCTTGTTGCGGAGCACGGGCTCCAGACGCGCAGGCTCAGTAGTTGTGGCTCACGGGCTTAGTTGCTCCACGGTATGTGGGATCTTCCCGGACCAGGGCTCGAACCCGTGTCCCCTGCATTGGCAGGCAGATTCTCAACCACTGTGCCACCAGGGAAGCCCTATATTTTTTCTTTTGATGTAAATTTTTCTTTTTAATTTTATTTATTTATTTATGGCTGCGTTGGGTCTTCGTTACTGTGCGTGGGCTTCCTCTAGTTGCGGTGAGTGGGGGCTACTCTACATCGTGGTGCGTGGGCTTCTCATTGTGGTGGCTTATCTTGTTGTGGAGCACGGGCTCTAGGTACGCGGGGTTCAGTAGTTGTGGCACATGGGCTCTAGAGCGCAGGCTCAGTAGTTGTGGCCTGCGGGCTCAGTAGTTGTGGCTCGCGGGCTCTAGAACACAGGCTCAGTAGTTGTGGCACACGGGCTTAGTTGCTTCGCGGCATGTGGGATCTTCCTGGACCAGGGCTCGAACCTGTGTCCCGTGCATTGGCAGGCAGATTTTTAACCACTGTGCCACCAGGGAAGTCCCATTCTCTGAGTTTTGAGGAATGTATATATCTGCTACCCACTATTTTTAAGAATGTGTAGGTGATTGTATTTAGGCAGTGTAACAGGTTGAATTTTATTAATCTCTATATCATGGATATAAATAATGAGTCTAAAATCATATCACAAGTAAAGGTGGGTTATTTGATTGCAGAAAAATTCATTATTGGAAATGGCTCCTTGGTCACCTTTGTTAGGTACATGACATAGTCCTCAGTGAGAAAGAATGAGTGTATCATTTTATTGTTTGGGGATGAATGGAAAAGGTATAAATAATTTGGTTTTGAGGTTATATATGAAAGTTTGATTTAGCTTTCATCTTGTCAATTTATTTTTACCTTGGTTTTTAAGACTCTGTTTGTGGGGGACTTCCTTGGTGGTCCAGTGGTTGAGACTTTGCCTTCCAGTGCAGGGGTGTGGGTTCGATCCCTGGTTGAGGAGCTGAGATCCCACATGCCTCGGGGCCAAAAAACCAAAACATAAAACAGAAGCAATGTTGTAACAATTTCAATAAAGACTTTAAAAGTGGTCCACATCAAAAAAAAAATCTTAAAAAAAAAAGACTCTATTTGTGGGTAGTCACCCTTTATACTTTAATACATTTTTATTTAGAGTTAACAGTGTAAGCATTGCATTTATTTAGTACTCTGGTTTTATTATTTAGAGTTTTAGCCTGCATTGGTGATTACCAACCTAGATATTTACTAGAACTTGAGGATAGAAGTCATATAATTTGGACTGATCAATATATAGCCTTTAAAAAATTCATATGTTTCTAACCTTTAGAACCCTTAGTATTTTCCTCCTTTTAGGTTTAATTATATTTTAATGCCTTTTTATTCATTTAATTCAGTTGTTTTCTTTTGGTTGCTCAAATTGTCAACAAGTGAGAGGACTTCTAAACTATCTGCTGTGTCTCCTGTGTCCTTCTAGTACGGCCTCAGTACTCGTTTTCTTAAAAAAATATGTTCCAGGCTGTGTTGGGATTTCCAAGACTTCTCCTAGGCCCAGTAGTTTGCTGGGAGGACACACAGGACCCGGCATATAGTCACGCTCAGGGCTGAGATTTATTACAGTGAAAGGACACAAAGCAAAATCAGCAAAGGTTAAAGGCACTCAGGGCAAAGTCTGGAGGGAACCAGGGGCCAGCTTCCAGAGTCCCCTTTCCGTAGAGTCTCATAGGACACACTTAATTCCTCCAGCGATGAGTTGTGACAACACGTGCAGTGTGTTGTCTCCCAGAGAAGCTCTCTGGGGACTCAGCACCCAAGGCTGGTCACGTAGGCACCCTCTGTCTGGCATGTACCAAGATTCCAGACTCCCAGAAGGAAAGTGGATGTTCAACATAAACCACACTGTTTGTACAAACAGCTTAGGTCCAGTGAAGCACTCAACATATAGGAAAGTTTGATATCAGCATAGGGAGCTATTTGCCAGCCAAGCAACAACCTTGCAAGCAGGCCTCCTGAGGATAGGCAGTCTCAGGACTGCTGTGTTAACAGGAGCTTATTTTAGATTTTCCTTCCCCCAACACATTAAAAAAGTCTTGGTTCCTTTCGGCAGAGAATAGTATTAATTGTCTGGTCATCAAGGTGCATAACAGACTGTCCACACGGATGCCAGGTAGATACTAATGCTGGGCCACTTTAGTGACAGAACTAATAAAGTATTTTTTTCATAGATTATTCTTCACTTTAACCGTTTATATCATTTTTAACATCTTGTTATTATAAAAAAAAGATTCAAAACTTTTCATTTTTGAGCAAAAGCAGTTTCTCTCTTCTTTAACATCATCATGTTTGTTTAATTTTTTTTTTTTTTTTTGGCCGTCTGCGGGGCATGCAGGATCTTAGTTCCCTGACCGGGGATCGATCCTGGGCCCCCAGCAGTGGAAGCTTGGAGTCCTAACCACTGGACCGCCAGGGAACTCCCCATCTTTGTTTAATTTTAATACACCTTGTAATTTTTATTAGACCAGTGTGTTTACATTAAAATTTTGATGTACGTTTAGAAACAATTTTCTAAAATTATGTTTGGATTTATCCATATTTCTTATAAAATAACACCCATAATTTATTATCGTATTCCATTTTAGAGCTTTAGGAAGAACTATGCATTGTAATTAAATAAAAAATATGCATAGGTAGACTAGATTTGGGGATAGCAATAGTGCCATGTGGCACCCCCTCCTTTTTATGTCCAGATATCTTAGAATTAATTTTATGCTCTGTCTCCATCGCCATCATCTGAATCTGATGAAGGAAAAGAGAAATTATTATTCCTCCTAGGGAACAGTCATTGCTGTCTAGTATCTTAGATAAAACTGCTTACAGTTAGTAGAAAATAGTAATGAATGGGAGAATACAGAGAGATCTAAACCTGAGATTTCTGAAATTCGTCTTTGACTCTGTTACTAGGGCCAGAATACAGACCAGCTCTGTGTGCGTGTGGCCATTATTTGGTTGCTGATAGTTTTAATATTGAACTCCAATATTTTAGAATTCTTTGGAGAAAAGCCTTAACTAAGAAGTTCAGATGGAATAATTACCAAAAGCTCATTATCTAGCGCTTCTTCTAGTTTGGAAGCCATGGACTAGAGCCAAGATTCTAGAATGACCTATAAGTAAAATAAATTCATTCTCAAACCTTGTAGTCCTGAGGAGACTTCTTTGATCATCATTGTTTTGGGTGCATCACCCTTATCTCCTTTATCACCGTTCACTCTAATCCAGCAAGGCCACCTTTTCCTAAACAAAATCAGTGACTAAAGCACATCCAAATATGATAGTCCTTTTATTTTATTTTATTTTAGCCTATTTGCAAACAAGAATTATCCTGGAAATAAAACTTAGAGGTTTTAACTTATTACACAAATACTCAGTATATTCACCTGCTATGTTACAGTTCTATACCTATTTCACAAAAGGTGCAAAAAAGTTTTTATATCTTTACCAATGGTAGTTTCATGTGTCAAGTATTTTTTTTCATAATTTTATTTATTGATTGATTGATTTTTGGCTGCATTGGGTCTTTGTTGCTGCGCTTGGGCTTTCTCTAGTTGCGGTGAGCGGGGGCTAGTCTTCATTGCGGTGCGCGGGCTTCTCATTGTGGTGGCTTCTCTTGTTGCAGAGCACGGGCTCTAGGCGCGTGGGCTTCAGTAGTTGTGGCTCGTGGGCTCAGTAGTTGTGGCTCACGGGCTCTAGAGCGCAGGCTCAGTAACTGTGGCTCATGGGCTTAGTTGCTCCGCAGCATGTGGGATCTTCCTGGACCAGGGCTCGAACCCGTGTCTCCTGCATTGGCAGGTGGATTCTTAACCACTGCGCCACCAGGGAAGGCCCTGTCAAGTATTTTTATTTTCTGCTTAAGAATTCAAATCTCAGCACCAGTTTTTGTTTTAACTGAAGTATAGTTGATTTACGATGTTGTGACAGTCTCTGCTGCACAGCAAAGTGACTTAGTTATACAGATACAGACATTCTTTTTATATATCCTTTTCCATTAGGTTTATCACAGGATATTGAATATAGTTTCCTGTGCTATACAGTAGGACCTTGTTGTTTATCCATTCTAAATGTAATAGTTTGCATCTACCAACCCCAAACTCCCACTCTATCCCTCCGCCTCCCCTCCCCCCCCCCCCCCCCTCCCCTCCCCCACCCCACCCCTGGCAACCACAAGTCTGCTCTCTATGTCTGAGTCTGTTTCTGTTTTCTAGATAGGTTCATTTGTGCCATATTTTAGATTCCACGTATAAGTGATATCATATGGTATTTGTCTTTCTCTTTCTGACTTATTTCATTTAGCATGATAATCTCTGGTTGCATACATGTTGCTGCAAATCTCAGCACCAGTTTTTTTTTTGTTTTAATTTTATTTATTTGTTTATTTATTGGCTGCATTGAGTCTTAGTTGCTGCGCGTGGGCTTTTCTCTAGTTGCAGTGAGTGGGGGCTACTGTTCATTGCCATGAGCGTGCTCCTCATTGCGGTGGCTTCTCTTGTTGCAGAGCATGGACTCTAGACGTGCGGGCTTCAGTAGTTGTGGCGCACAGGCTTAGTTGCTCTGCGGCATGTGGGATCTTCCTGGACCAGGGCTCGAACCCATGTTCCCTGCATTGGCAGGTGGATTCTTAACCACTGTGCCACCAGGGAAGTCCCTCAGCACTTGTTTTAACTCACTTAGTTCATAATGCCTTTGTATACATCCCAGAACCTCAAGGTTCCAGCTGCTTTTCAGACAGTGTGGGGCCTTACCTGTTTAAAACATACGCACACACACACACATACAATAAGATTTCCTCATAGCTAAAATGACATTCAACCAGTGTAGATATTAAAATTTTATGTTTTCTTGGGATCAGCCTTTCTATTTGAACTACCCCTCAAACCTAAAACCTCAGCATTTATCGACTTCCTCTTACCTGATCACTATTTTCAGTTTTTCTCTCTTCTGTGGCTTTCTCCAGAGCCTGCTGCTTGCAGGAACCAATGATTTTACTTTCATTTGTGTCTCTTTAAGTATCCACTGTTGGGATTCCTCAGGCCTGTGCAGATGTGCTCTGAGTGCTGTTGTGGTGACTGGGCCAGTAGTTGCCCTACCGTCACCAGGCAGGTGACTGCATGAGGCCACCTGAGTATTCCAGTACTCCTGCTCCTTTTATTTCACTTCCAAAAGGTCCTCAGTTATACACCTCCACCACCCCCACCAAATGTAGTAGACACAACCATATTACATGCATTCAGTTACAACAGTGCTAAGACCCAATTATTTGATAAAATAAATATTTACTTAGTTTTACTGATCTAGTAAGCTAAATGACCAGAGGAACTTTAGCATCATTATTCAAAAAGAAGGGTTACCTTCCTGGGGTTCCCCAAGTTCAGTGAAGACATACTGAGCCAGTGGCTGTAATAACAATAGCCACTCGCATTTCTGGAGAACTGGCTTGTTCTTTTAGTCCTCCATAGCTTTTATGGTTGGCTGCTGACTAATATTGTAACAAAAGATTGGAAGGAATCCAAATGCCTATCAGTAGGAGACTCTTGAATAAACAATGGTACAGCTACAAAAAGGAATGAGAAAGCTCTCTGTATACGGCTGCAGACAGATGTCCACAATATATTGGTAAGTAAAAAATGAAGATACAGGGCAGTTTGTGTAGTATACCTCATGGAGAGGGAAAATACAAAGATGTACATATGTTTGCTTATATTTTTCCAAGAAACAATGCAAGATTAAAACAAAAACTAATGAGAATGGCTGCCTATACAGGGAGGGAGAGATTAGAGATGGAAGCTAGACCTCTCTCAATGTACCTTATTTTATAGTTTTGATTTTGGAACTTTGTAAATATTTTACATTAAAAAAAGTAAAAATCAAACACACACTGAAATAACTAAACTGTATACCACAAAAAAATCTTAAATTGAGTCCATATTTTTGTTAATAATATTAGTATTATTTTGAAATGTACATTCAGATAAAGCAAAGATTATGTAGTGTCGTTAGGAACCCAGATTCTCAGGATAAGAGGGAAAAGATACAAGCATAAAATCAAATGATTTAATTAAAGCCCTGTAATCTTAAATATGAATCATAAATATTAATATAAACTCATGACACTTTCCTTTTTCTAAAAGGTATGTATTTTATAGCTTTGCCCATTGAAAAGACCTAGAAGCAGTGACAACCTATTAGCAGTTAGCATCCTTATCATCCAGATTGTTGTCTCTAAATCCCGTTTCTCAGAGAGATTATTGATTGTGTGCTTGGAGCAGGAAATGTACAAGATGAACCTGCTCTAGTTTGTCATACTAGAAATAAAGGAAACTAGATGTTTGATGATGTGAAAAGATACAGAACTGATCTGAAGGGGCTCCCGCTGGCCAAAAAAGGGACAATTTGAGCGTTAAAAAGAATAATGACTTGAACTTATTTACAAAATGGAAATAGACTCACGGACAGACTTAAGGTTACCAAAGGGATAGCGGGGGGAGAGGAGGAGGAGATAAATTTGGAGTTTGGGATTAACATATACACACTACTATATATAAAACAGATAAACAACAGGGATCTACTGTATAGCACAGGGAACTATATTCAGTAATAACTATAATGGAAAACAATCTGAAAATATATACATATATATGTATAACTGAATCACTTTGCTGTATACCTGAAACGAACACAACATTGTAAATTAATTGTACTTCAATTTAAAAAATGGTTAAAAAAATAATGGCTGCAATGGATTGAAACTCATCCAGTGTATAGCATTCTGTGAATTCATAATGATAAACTAAAGAAAAAAGTCAAAACCACTTGAATCACATTTGGAGGTTCTAGAGCACTAACTCATTATTCAGAAAATTGACAAATGAAGCAATTAAGCATTTTAAAAGTCTCATATTTTTGATGAATAGACAGTGCATCATTCGGATGTCTGTTAAAAGATCCACTTCCTTACACTCAGTCTCTCACTGCCTGTTTATATATGTGTGTGTTTATAAAATCTTGGAGAAAAAAAGATAAGGTTGGATTATGGTTAATACACTTCAGCCTTGTAGCTCAAAGTAGGAAGTTGGAAAGACAGACTGCCATGTGTGCAAAAACCTGTATTTTTCCGTCTCTCTGCATAAGCTGACAGTCTTTTGGGCCTTAGTCTTGTCCAACCTCTTATTTCTCCTTTGGGGGTGACTTTAGATTTCAGTGGTCTCTAACAGATTTGAAAGGCATTGAGCAAAACACTGAGTTCTAAAAAAAAACAAAACACTGACTTCTGTTCATTTGCTAGGAATAAAACCATAACCTTCCTACAAGGCTTTTTTCATAAATAATATAGAGAGCTTGAATTTATTCTCTGGACCCTGTCAGCGTTCCAGCTTGTCCTTTTAGGCCAAAAAAGGCTATATAGACCTCGGCTGGAATAGCAAGCACAGCTGTTTCTGTACTGACCAAATGAGGCATGTTATGTGCAAAGCCTTTAGAGGCTGTTCTTTTTTTCTTTCCAGAAGAATCCCCAAGGCCTGAGGGCCTTGCAAATACTATTCTCTCCACTCCCAGTGTTCAGGAAACAATAATCTATATCATTAATAAGTAGAAGTAATATGATCTCTTGGAAAGAACCCAGAATTGGGAACCTGAAAAATGTTTCTGAGCAGTCAGATCTGTGCTTAAACCTAACTTTGTAATTCTGGAAATGTATTTTTTTTTAAAGGATCAATTTTATTTATTTATTTTTGGTTGTGTTGGGTCTTCGTTGCTGTGCACGGGCTTTCTCTAGTTGGATCGAGCGGGGGCTACTCTTTGTTGCGGCGCGCAGGCTTCTCATCGTGATGGCTTTTCTTGTTGTGGAGCACGGGCTGTAGGTGCGTGGGCTTCAGCAGTTGTGGCATGCAGGCTCAGTGGTTGTGGCTCGTGGGCTCTAGAGCGCAGGCTCAGTAGTTGTGGCGCACGGGCTTAGTTGCTGCGTGGCATGTGGGATCTTCCCAGACCAGGGATGGAACCCATGTTCCCTGCATTGGCAGGCGGATTCTTAACCACTGTGCCACCAGGGAAGTCCCTGTATTTGTTTTCATATTAACATTGTTTTAAAGTTTTCGGTTCATCTTTTTGTGTGTGTGTGTGTGTGTGTATTTTAAAGCAAATCTTTTTTTTTTTTTTTTGTGGTACGCGGGCCTCTCACTGCTGTGGCCTCTCCTGTTGCGGAGCATAGGCTCCGGACACACATGCCCAGCGGCCATGGCTCACGGGCCCAGCCGCGATCCTCCCGGACCGGGGCACGAACCCGTGTCCCCTGCATCGGCAGGCGGACTCTCAACCACTGTGCCACCAGGGAAGCCCCTAAAGCAAATCTTTGATAATATAGCTTTTCACTGTAAATACTTCCTTACTGGCAGTTTACTTAACCCCTGAGGGCCCCCCCTACTTAAATGGAGAAAATATTCCCTGCTTCATTATTTCATAAAAAAGCTGTGAGAGAAAAAGGTGAAAATACTTTGAAAGTGTGCTAATGAAATGAAAGGTACTATTGAATCTAGATTATTTCAGAGTGTCATCTCTACTATAAAAATTTTGATTTGTTTTGAAATGGGCTCACCGAAAATAGTGAATCAAGGTGAGTCTGTCATGTAAAGATTCATAAATTTGGTTTCATTTTGAACTGGTTCTCTAGATGTTATATGCATTTTTTAAAAGGCTAGTTTCATTTTGTTGTTATAGTTAATTAGAGATAAATATTTGGGCAAAATGTAATATTCAGCAAACCAACATGATTATTTCCACTTTCTGAGTCAAGCCCTGAAGGCCATTCTCTTCCCCACAAACAGAGCCTGGCATTTCAACATCGGATATTCTGTCTTGGATTAAACAAGAGGAAGAGACCCAGGTCGGCACCCCACAGGAGCCCAAGGAGAGTGACGTGTGCAAAAGCACCTATGCCGGTGAGTACTGAGGCGCCCAGACCCAGCTCATGCCAGGACCACTGAGAAGAAACGGCAGAGGAAGTCGGGTTGTGGATGCAAGGAAGTGGGTGAGGAATGAGGAAAAGGGGGAAAAAAGCATGTTCAAGTAAGTTAGAAATGAAACGGAAATCAAACCAAGATACATTTTAAGTGAGAAAACATACTCTTAAGTGTAAAGACAAATTAGAAGTGTCCGAGGAAGAAAAACAAGTGCATACAGATGCACCAGAAGTATGAGGATGGGGAAGGACAGAACATTTGAACAGCATGCAGAAAGGACAGAACAAAGCTAGGGGGTGGGAGAGACGAGCAGTGGAGACAGCAGTGTCTTGGGAGAGGCACAAATGGGAATGTTAATGAAGAGCTCTCCCTCAGGAAGAACAGTGACATGAGAAGAAACACGCGTCTTCTAAGACATTTAGCACCATCTATATTTTGCCATCTGAACCAGAAGAGAATCTCAAGGTCAGAAGAGACATGATCGTTTATGCAACTTAATGCAACCTGTTTAACTTCTATGCTCTGTGCTTAGACCCTGGGGAAAAAAAAAAGACAGTTTCTGCTCTTCAAGAAGTTTATATTGGGGACACACATATCAGTGCTAGGCATGCCTATTATTAAATGTCAAGGGTGAGTGGGATGGATGACTTGTATACAAGAAATAAGAAGTTCGGAGAACATCACATCAGTTTTAGTTTAGGTATTTAGATAAGGCCTAAAGAAGGATGCAAAGGGACTTCCATGGCGGTCCAGTGATTAGGACTCTGCGCTTCCACTGCAGGGGGCTTGGGTTCCATCCCTGGTTGGGGAACTAAGATCCCCGCAAGCTAGGATGTGAAGCTAGAATTGGCCTTAGAAAATTGGTACTGTGTGGTTGGGTATAATCTGGGAAGATGGGAAGAGAGGAGATGCATTCTACAAAAGGGAGGGCAGAATGATTAAAGACATATGAGCAGAAATGTGTACTTTATTTTCCAGGAAAGTAAAGAGACAGCTAACTATAGTGAAGGACTTACCTGGCAGAATACAAAGGAACAAGATTAGATAAATACATGATTTTAGGCCTAATCACAATAGGCAACAGAGAACATTTCAGAGCCTGTGAGCAGAGGTGAATCATAATGAAAGTAATGCTGGGAAGATTGATGCCAGGGTTCTTCCTGTCCAAACGGGGAGCGCTGAAGAGGTTCGGTAGTAAATTCTCCGACATTGGCCTCAGGGACTACAGACACCCTGGTTATTATCTCAGCCCTCCACTGACTTCCTTATCTGGGCCAATGGGAGCTCAGAGCAGCCTGTCAGAGCTGGGCAGGGACACAGGAGAGTTGCTGGGACACCTGTTGTCGACAGGTGTGACTCTGAGTCCTTTCTTTCAGACGAAGAGCTTGTCATCAAAGCTGAAGGCCTCGCCAGAGCCTCCCTGTGCCCCGAGGTGCCCGTCACCTTCTCTTCTCCACCAGCAGCAGCTAAGGATACGTTTCGGGACGTGGCCTTCAAAAGCCCGCAGTCTGCGCCCATGGCGCCGTTTGGACGTCCAGCCACCGAGCTGGCCGAAGCTTCTGAGGGACAAGTGACTTTCACTCAGCTGGGCAGCTACCCCCTCCCGCCTCCGGCCGGGGAGCAGGTGTTCTCGTGCCACCACTGTGGCAAGAGCCTCAGCCAGGACATGCTGCTGACCCACCAATGCGGCCCCGCGGGGGAGCGCCCGGCCCCCTGTGCCCAGTGCCCCAGGCACTTTCCCCCGCACGCCGACCGCGGCCCGCAGCCGCCCGCCAGCGAGACGCCACCCACCTGCCCGCACTGCGCCAGGACTTTCACTCACCCGTCCAGACTCACCTACCACCTTCGGGTCCACAACAGCACCGAGCGCCCCTTCCCCTGCCCCGACTGTCCCAAGCGCTTCGCCGACCAGGCGCGCCTGGCCAGCCACCGGCGAGCCCACGCCAGCGAGCGGCCCTTCCGGTGCGCGCAGTGCGGCCGGAGCTTCAGCCTGAAGATCAGCCTGCTGCTCCACCAGCGGGGCCACGCGCAGGAGCGGCCCTTCTCCTGCCCTCAGTGTGGCATCGACTTCAACGGCCACTCGGCCCTGATCCGCCACCAGATGATCCACACGGGCGAGCGGCCGTACCCCTGCCCTGACTGCAGCAAGAGCTTCATGCGCAAGGAGCACCTGCTCAACCACCGGCGGCTGCACACGGGCGAGCGGCCCTTCAGCTGCGCGCACTGCGGCAAGAGCTTCATCCGCAAGCACCACCTCATGAAGCACCAGCGCATCCACACGGGCGAGCGGCCCTACCCCTGCGCCGAGTGCGGCAGGAGCTTCCGCTACAAGCAGACGCTCAAGGACCACCTGCGCTCGGGCCACGGTGGCGGCTGTGGTGGGCATAGTGACCCCTCTGGACAGCCGCCGGACCCCCCGGGCCCCCTCCTAACTGGGCTCGAAACCGCTGGCCTGGGCGTTAACACCGAAGGTCTAGAGGCCAATCAGTGGTATGGGGAAGGGACTGGAGGCGGGGTTTAGTAAATCTCTCTCCTTTCAGGGTTAGCCGTGCTGGCAGCGGGGCAAGAGGCAAGCCCAGAAGCCCCTGCCCCCCGCTAACCCGGTGGTAATGCCTGCCTGGCACGTCAGTGAATTGGGGGTCCTGTGCACTTGACTAGAGGCGTGCTTGAGTTTCGGAACTTCACAAGAGCAGCACATTGTGAAACCCAGGAAGACCTGGAGGAGAGCCCAGCTTCCTCATCTTTTCAAAAACATTACCTAAGCAGAAGTTATAAGAATGTTGCAGAGAGGTTGGAAAGCAAGATTCGGCCTCTGGTGGTCCATCACAGGGTAATTCGGCCTCTGGTGATCCATCAGTAGGTAGAGTCAGGTGCGTGGAAGAGCCTCCAAGGCTTGAAGCCCATTCTGCGGCAGAGAATGTTTAACTGAGCCTTTCATCACCTCCTTGATGGTAGGATGGTTCTGGAAGAAAGTGCCCAAGCCTGGGCACCACTCCTGTTCCTCCCAGACAGTGGCTCCAGTTGGCTCACGTGCTTGGGTACTGTCTCTCCCGAAATGATGACTCAAGACTGCCTTCCTAGGTCTCCTAGATTAATTCTTCTAATATATTTTGTTTAATACTGGATGAGCAAAAAATTTGACTTTAAAACCTTCTTAAGGAGAACAGTTCTTTCACTAGCTTAATTTGAAGCATTCAGGCTTTTACTGTCATTTAAACTGCTAGAAACTTTTGCCGGGGTCCTGGTTAAAAATTTGGGAGCAGGATTCTCGGCCCCAGCTTTAAAAGCTACAGATCCCCGAGAAGTGACAGAAGAGCCTAGAGTTTGTGCCTGAACCATGTTTCTTAGCGTCACTTATGTCATATTCTTCCTCATTGTTTCCAAGCAAGCAAGCTGGCTTTTCCATTCCCGGTGTCTGATATTCTGACAGTCACCAGCAGGAAAGGTCACAGCGCTTCCAGAAGCATTACAGAGTTTTGGAAAGTGCCAATGGACTGTCACCTTTCACTTCCTCAGTAGTGAGATGATAGTTGCAATGCCGCTTTCTTGAGCCAGCAGAGTGTCTGTTCTCCCCCCTGGCGATGGGCAGATTGAGGGACTTCGTAGGCCCCGGAGAGCTAAGCACGAGGCGTGGGTGAGGACAGCCTCTTCCTGCTGGTTTTGCTTCTGGGGACCTTGGCTGCCGTGTGTTCTTTTGTCAGGGTCAGTCAGTCACCTGGGAGCATCTGAGCCTGGTCCCATTCCCAAGTGGCTTTGCAGTTGGGCCCCTTTCCCTTTACAGATCTCAGATTTTCATCTGCAAAATGAGGCTGGTGAAAGGAAAAAAAGTGAACCTTTAGAATTAAAAAAAAAAAAATTTTGTACATTCCTTCTCCTGCCAAAATCCTCTCTCTATCTCTGGCTTTTATCCAGGCAAAGCAAAATAAGACAGCAAACTCAAAGCGACATTCTTGCTGAAACTTGACTGAAATCAGTTTGGTTTGTTGTTTTACTCTTGCTTGGAGACTGAGGTAGAAGACAGAGAATGCAGAAGTCCTAAGTCTTGGGCAGCAAAGTTGTTTGTACCTGTACTCTCCTGTTTCCCCTGAATCTTCCTGAGATGGCTGTGACAGGGTCTGCGAGTATTTAGACAAGACACTTTCTTGATGAAATGATAAGGGAAGGACCCATTTTTTCCCTTATCACCCAGCCCAAACCTCACCCTGCCTAGTTATGTGTAACTACACTAGGAAAAAAGTGTCACCCCCAGCTAGCTTTGCTCCTGGGAATGCTCTGTCTGAACATGCTGCTCCTTAGGATAATCACATTTACAGAACATCTGTGACATTCTCAACACCAAGCATCATGGGAGGCCTAAGAAATGTGTATGAGACCTATTCCACTGTCATAACTTATAGTCTAAAGGCAAGGGAATGGGACAAACCAAGAGAGATGATAAACAGAACCCTGGCATATGGGACTAAGAGTTTTCTAGCTAGAATCTGGACCCATACCATGGGAAATTGGGGGGTTCTGGGGGTCCCAAAACCAGGGTTCCAGCTTTCCTGGTGACCCACTAGGAACCTGAGTGTTTTATCCAGCTCTGGTTTGTATCCTGATCTTCCTAATGAAAAGGAAGAAGAGTCAGATCTCTATGTGGTGAGGTCCCTTTTCTGAACAGATGGATTTGAGCATTCGCCAGGGTTTGCTGGAGAAGGCACTCCTACACTAGGTGTGATGACGGATGAGATGGAAATTCTTTACTCAGAGGTTTACTGAGGACACAGAGCTTATTAATGAAAGAGACCTGTGGATTAAAATGCTGCAGATAGGTCCCACAGTCCCTTTTGCAAGGAACTGTAGCCAGCAGGGGCCCGCACTTTGGCAAGAAGTGAACAGAGTTCAAATACCAGTGAGGCAAGAGCCGTGAAGCTGAATGAGAGGGAAGAATGGGCAGCATCATGCCAGAAAGATGGAAGTAGATGTTATCCAGTCCTCAGCCCTTGAACAAACTTGGGGTTCAGCTACTGTACATTCTGGTCTCCTTTCCCTCCACCAGTCCTCTACCAGGTAGAACTCCAGGCCAGCTCTTAATTCGAGTTTGTTTGCTTAAGATTCAAAAGTGGATAAGTAAAATAGACCAGTGGAAAAGATAAGTCCAACAGAGGGGTTCCAGTGTGTGGAGAAACGTGGTCCATCAAGGGCTCCTGAGACAAACCATACACTTAACAGTAACTGAGGATTGGTCTTCCTGACCAGACACAGTGGGAAAGAGGAAAACCTAGAAACGTGCCCTTCATCAGTCTGCCCGCTGGGCTGGGAAGTCTGTACTATCACATAAATAGGTAGCATCTCCTTGGAGTGGATCCAGCTGTTGACTGTAACCAGATTCACTCTTTGCTTACTAGATTTTTCATTATCACCGTAAGATGAACCTCTGGCTCAGCCACAGATGTGAACATAAATGGAGTTGATTGTCCAGAAAGTGAAAGAAGACTCTGACCTTTTCTGCTGGATATTTGTTACTGGAACACCATGGCTGGGCTCTAGCTACTTTACGTAACTTCCCAGCAGTGCTTTACATAACTTCCCTCATCATTAGTAACAGTCTGCGGACTTTCTGTTGGGGGACTCTGCTGGGCTTCTCTTTGGAGCATTTTTAAATATTTGGGTGTCCATGCCTATCTCAACCAGGACCAGACCTTATGGCTTACTAGGGAGTAATAAACGTTCACTGTCTCAGTTGGCAACGGTCTTGTTGATGATGAAAGAGGGCCCGAGTTCCTTTATCTGTTCATTCCGAATGGGATGGAGAACCCAAATTTCTGCTCAGATTTCCTCTTGAGGAGGGGCCGGGCATGCTGTCCCACAGCCACATCCCACATTGTAGCTTCTTAGACAATAAAAAGCATCCTCCTCAGCTGCCTGAGGGCTGCTGAGGAGCGATGAGGAAAAGCAAGTCTCCCCGAAAGGTTCTCACAGACCAGGGACTCTGTTATCATCAGAGATATGTTCTTTCTGTGTGCTCGGTGGACACCTTTGACCCTGTTCCCTTCACTCGACAAAGGAAGCAGTCTTCTCGCAGGGTTTTACACAGAGGACATTCTTTGACTTGGGAAGTGTCAGGCTCTTACAAGCAAAAGATCCTCAAGTTAGGGCAACTTGGTGGGAGATGGGAGTAGGGAGTGCTTGGGCCTTGTAAGGACATGCCATGTGGGTTAGCACAGCTTAATGGCTTAAAGCAGGGACTAGATTCAGACCTAGCTTCAAGTCCTGACATCATAAGAAGTAACATAACATATTATTTAGCCATCCTAAGCCTAGTTTCCTTAAATGTAAAATAGAATGGTGCTGTCTTGGAGGTGTCAGGGTTTGGGGGGAACCTGTGAAAGTGCTTAGCACAGAGCCTGGCACACGGAGGTGTCAGGGGGCAGCCATCAGGAAAGGTGCAGGCCCAACCAGAGAGGGGAAGGTGCAGAGAACTGAGGTCGCTCTGCAAAAGCACGTGATTGCTTGATGACATAGCTTATGCCTTCCATCTTTTGCTTCCATTTAGCCTGTTCGTTTACTCTGTGTTTTCTGTATCTCCTGGCTCCCAAAAGTTTGTGTGCGCCATGACACCAGGTGGTTCTGATTCTCTTGACTTTTCTTAGTTCACGTTCTAACATGTGGGATCTGGCCCAGCTCCTCTTTCTATACCAGGCCGCAGAAGTCTCCATCCGACCCTTGGACTGGCTGCCCTTGGGTTACATGCTCATCTTGGTTCAGTCAGCTGTAGTCAGGCGGGAAGGTCCCAGATCCCAGGATCTGTGGGCCTGGTAGACTGACGTGGGAATGGGCAAACGGTGGCACAGTGGGGCATTCCTAGTACTGCTAGGAGAGGAAAACTCTGTTTCACCTGTATCAGGCTTGCTTGAAAGGCTTCTGCTTCATCAGCACATCCTAGACCAGAGCTCATGGCCCCCACGTAAAGGACCTGGAAGGTGCTGTTTCTGTATCTTGCAAAAGAAGTAATTTGTTACTTTCTAGGGTGTTATTCCTCCTTTCTGTCCCAGCTCCACTTTCTTTTAAATATGTAACTCTGGCCATAATTCTATTTATACACACATACACAATGACTTCTGTCAGCTTGGTCAAATTGCCTCTTCAAAACAAAACATAATTCTGCCCCTTAAGACCAACTGCCCACTGAAGAATGCAGAGAGATACAGTCAATCAGAGAGGCCTCAGAAGTACTGCGCTGCAATGCTCTTAAAATTGCCAGGTTACATTTCAAATAAAATATTTGGTAAAACCTCATTGGGCTACGTGGCTTCGTGTCTGCTATTAGCAAAGCCAGTATTTACTGTAAAATCTTGAAGCTGGTCTAAAAATTAAGCTTCCCAAGAACTGGGGCCATGTCTTCTTTTGTATTCCTTCTGGTGCCACGTGCTGTCAGGGACGTGGATGCTTGATGAATGATCGTGCAGTGGGAAGACCACCTGCGAAGGGATTACAAATGATTCTGGTTGTAGCTTAACATTCTCTACCTGCTTGGTACGGAGCAAGCCACTTAGACTGTGTAGATCTCATTTTCCTAATTCTAATGGGCAGATTGAACAAGGTGGTAGTAGAAGGTCCCTTCCAACTCTAAAATCATAGAACTTAAGATTTTACTTCCTGGTCCTGTTTTCCTTGTCTGGTTTCTCCCCAGATTCTGCCCTATTGAGTGATTCCTTTGACACAGCAGAATCAACACCTTGGAGAGGTATGCGTTATTACAGATTAAAGAGTCTCATTCTAACCATATTATGATTACTCCAAAACCACACAAACTGACAAAATTCTAGCAAAACTATAAAATTTCGTTTTAAAACACAGCATGTGTTTGACTGCACTTTTAAGCATAGGAAGACACACCAAAGTAATAGTTGTTCTAGGGTGCTGGGGTCATTCAGTGGTTACTTTTTCCCGTATATTTTGTGTAATGTAAAACGTTTTGTATATAGCACTTCTAATGCTTTTACAAGAATAAGGATTATCGGGCTTCCCTGGTGGCGCAGTGGTTGACAGTCTGCCTGCCGTTGCAGGGGACGCGGGTTCGTGCCCCGGTTCGGGAGGATCCCACGTGCCGCGGAGCGGCTGGGCCCGTGAGCCATGGCCGCTGAGCCTGCGCGTCCGGAGCCTGTGCTCTGCAACG